AAAAATAAAGGTCTTATATTTAAGAAAATTATGAAAATGTGTCATGAAAATAATTTTCAAATATATACAACTCTGGAAAAAAAACTAAGACACTACTTAAATTGATCAGTTTCTCTGATTTTACTCTTTATAGGTATATATTTTGAGTAAAATGATTATTCTTTTATTCTATGAACTACTTTCAACATGTCTCCAAAATTCCAAGCTAAAAATTTAGTTTTTAGCTTGGAAATTATCATAATATTGAAAAAGAAGCAGAACTTTCAGACCTCAAACAACGCAAAGACAACAAGTTCATATTAATTTAGAGCATTAGTTCTAAATACTAATGTTTTGACTCAGGAAGAGTTCAGAAACCAATAATGGGTTGAATAACCAGGTTTTCAACGGGGTTCAGCGCAGTGGACTCTTAGTTTTTCCAGAGCTGTATATGTGTGTCTGTCCATTTAAGGGTTAACGTGATTTGAATTGTGAAATAAATGTAAACAAAACAATCCTGTCTGATTTATTTCAGAGCGGAAAGTCAGTCCTTGGTTTCAGATGGTGGCGGAGAATAGCAACAATATGATAATAACAACAATCTGTATGCAAAGGTTACCTCAAACTGCATGTGTTGCTGTGGATGTCGGCTGTGCCTGTGGACTAATCCGCGGTAGTTTGTGCTGAGAGATAGGATGACAGGACCCGGAGGAAGGAAGGGAGGAGAATGCGCTGCTGCTTCCTATGCAAACAAACATGACTGAGAGTGGAGGGCTGTGATCCATCCATCTGTCTCCTTGCTTCTTTTCCTCACACTTCCTTCTCCGCGTCGTCCTCTTCATCTGTCTCTTCCTCGCTAATGAGCGCCGGTGGGGTTTCTCGGTAGCCGAACAACCGGGAAGTTTTGTCTCTGCCCAGAAACGGAGGGGCCACGTAGAGTACTGCTGCCCGTCAGCTAAATAAACACTGAGATTCATGCAGGACTCACAGGTTCACTTTGCAGCAGGAAAATCCCATGTAGCAAGAGAAGCTACATACATGCTAGCTGCAGCTAGCATAAAATACGTGATTAGCATGCTAATTGTAGCTAAACTACTTTCAGCATAATTGAACATTGAACTTGAGTTTGTTGATGGTCTTCTGACATGCAGAGTTGGATAGCAACTAGTTACATTTACTTCTGTTTATTTCTAGGAGTGTTTTTACAACTTTAATAAGTTCATAATTATAATTTTCAGCCAGTTTCCGTCCTGATTAACCGCGTCTGGCTTCTTCTGGTGCATAATTATGACGGATGTCTCACATTAATGACGTAAAAGTAAGAAAGAACGCGACATGACCGTTGAAAACAGATAAGTATCCCATTTAATAGCATTTATGAAGGTGACACAAATCAGATTTTCTTTTTCTATGAGTAAAAAGACTGGAATTGGATCGTTCGATACACAAAAAAGAAAAATTGGATTTGGGTCGTAGCTGCTGCATCCTAGAAGTATTTTTTATTTAAATTATTATTATGTTAAGTTATGGATAAAACACTCTTTATATGTGTATGAGCTAAGTGTATGAGGCTTTGTTGGTTTTGGAGAGTCTGAGCTGCGTGCTACGTCACCGTTTGTTTAGTAGCGGAAGTAGCGTCAGTTACTCTGTTGTAAAGTTGTAGCTGGAAGCGTCTGGAAGAATAAACTTTGTTACGGTTTTGTTTCTGTTTTTCTGTTTCTGTCAATGCCCGGCTGCTTCTGAGAGAACAACTACAAACAGATACACACAGCGTGGCGCAAATAAAGTTTCCACAACTGAAGAATAACTCTTGTCTGTTTCGTGAGTGCAACATAACTTGAGTGTAAATTTAATTAAAAATAGGAAAATGAAATAATCTGACAAGGAATGATGGAAACTCACTGGCTTATAACTGCTTGGGAGGCGATGAGTGACATAGAAACCACAGGAAACAGAACAAAGTTCATCTATGTGGGAATATGAGGGAGAATAACTCATGAATGCAAAGCGAGTGATGTCGTTTCCTTCTTGTTTTTATCTGTTATCACGGCAACCCGATCTCAGATAAACAGATGGACACAAAACATGGTGTCGAAATTATGATGATAGGACAAGAAAAAATGGTAAGGAAAATCAGGCTAATCAAAATCAATATCATAATCGCAATTATAAACTGATGTATCGTAATAAATGTTTTTTCCAATATATTGGAGTCATAATTTAAACCCAGAAGTAGAAAAGTTGCAACTTCTGAGTGTCAGTCAAGTAAAAGCAGCACATTTACTTCACAGACAGCTAAATTATAAAATAAAATTTACCTAGGCAAAAATAATAAGACAATTCTAAAGTTGTCAGGAAGAGAAACCAAGACATGTTTAATTTAAGCTGCAGCGATTTTCCAAAAACGTGAATCAGTGAGGCGCTAATAGCCTTTTTTCTGATTTTTTAAACTGGTTTTGGAGGGAAAATAAACCCGTTTTCAGTCTGGACTTAAACTGACCTACTGACTGAGAGATGTTAGCAAACAGAGGGAGACTATTTGTGCATTTTAAACTTAAAAGTTGGAGTTTCTGGTTGAAAAAAGAGATAAATTACAACGACAAATGCAAATCAAAAACAAGACAGTCTGTCTTTCCAAGCTATCTGCCATATGAGAACATTACAGACTTCTCGCCGCCGTCCCATTAGTGAGTGGTGATAATGATTTTCCGTACAGCTTGTGCTATCACTTCATTATTTGTCTGACGTTATGAAGCCAACTGTTAGAGATTGTTCCCGGGAAAGTGTCATTTTCTTATCTCGGCTGCACTGCAGGGGGCCGTCCTTATCTCCATCACATGGAGGAGAGAATTACCTGCCTCCAATTACTCAGACGGAGCTGTGGAATAAAAACTGATGCATAAACCAGCAGCAGAGGCATTTCCAGACTGCCAGACCCTTTTCTGCATAAATAGATTAAATAATAAATAACTGTTTATTGCTATTGGAATTTTGATTTTAATCTTCTTGGGAAGAAAAAATCAGATTTCTCTTTTTGTTTCTTTTTTTCAGTGGCCCCCCATCCTTTTCTGTATGCTTGTTTGAACCAAGTACTATGCTTTTTGTCTTTAATATATTCAATATTTATTTATTATCCAAAACCCATTCATTGCTAATTTATTACATTAGAAATCTCAAACAAGAACATAATAATATCATATTTAATTTAAAAAGTTTCCCGTGCCGCTGTCTGACCCGTTCAGTGCTGAATGCAGAAACTCTCCCAGAGCGTGACTGGGATCCCTCTGACAGGCTGCCACTGAGAGCCGGACAGAAACTCCTCCATCATGCCGTTCCAACCCCTCAGGGACGGTGATGGACGCCGTGCAGCAGATCACTGAGCTGCCAGTCCGCGGGGCCCCAGGAGGCCCCTGAGAGCCACAGAGGAGGCGATGCATCCGCACCACAGCCTGCCACACTGATTCCTCCTGGCAGCCGAGACACGAGTCACAAATCACACGCCAGCAGATGGAGATGCAGCCAAATTACTACAGAGGAAGCTAAGAAATCTGCATAAAAACTGCAAAAACACAAAACCTTAACAAGTATTTTTGGTCTAGTTACACTGAAAAAAGACAACAGAGCTCAAACTTTAAAAAATTGAGCTTATTTGTTAGATTTAATCAAATTAAGTTTGTCAAACTTATTTGGGACACTTGATATTTTTACTTGGATAAACTTAATTTGATCACTTGTAACAAAGGACCTCATGTTTTCTTTTTTCAGTGTAGCTCAAATATTGTAACACATTTCAGATACGACAAAACTAACTTACACATAACATTTCAGGAAGATACAAGAGATTGTTCAAGTAAATTATTCCTTTATATTGATGAAACATTTCCAGTTCCAACAGCAGATTATTTCACTAATAACATGGAAAAATATCTTGTTATAAATTAATTTATTTGCCAGTGTAACTAGAATTTTTCATCATTATTAAACAGACTGAAAACAAGCTGCTATGTCTTACTGACAAGTTGTTAGTTTTGTCTTATTTCAAACATAAGAAATTTGCACTAGAAAATACTTGGTAAGATTTTGTGTTTTTTCAGTGCAGAGGCAGCTTCACTCTGTCGCTCAATACTGAACCAAATATTAGATATTAATTTAATATTAATAAATTATTTTTTCGGTTAATTTACTATGATTTTAAAAACATTAATAAACAGATAAAATCTCCAGATTAAGCTCATTATTCCAACAACATACTGGTTTTATTCCTTATTTTAAGTTTTTTGCTATTAGAGGACAAACAATAAATTTAATGTTTGATTAAAATAACTAAGTCTGTTTAAAAGGGCGATGCTGCCATCTAGTGGTAAGCAGCAGCTAAAACCTTTGAAGTATCTGAAGATGCCGGGTTTCTTTTCCAGACAAAAATCTCCTTTATGGAGTTAATTTTGTGCCAAAACGTTGCAAACAAATAAGAACAGATTTTATTTTCTTTTTTCTTTTTTACAGAACTCCTTCCAAAAATATCACTTTTGTTTGTTGTAATAAACTCTCGCATGTTTTAGTTTGATAGATTAAATAATGTCACATTAATTTCTGAATTTTAAAAAACATAATTCACAATACTTTCAATTTCATGACAAAATGTTTAAACGCTTAGTAAAGTGCAGCTGCAGTTGTTTACTCAGGATCAATCAATCAAAATGGACTTTAAAAGTTTAACGAAAAGTATCAAGAAACTCAAAACTAAATGAAATAATTCAATTTCACAGCTGAAAACTGCAAAATAAAAAAAATCCTTCTAACCTGTACATTTTATTAATGACTATTTGAATTGTCTCAATTCAATCAGGGTAAAATTGTAGTTAGTATATCTTAAGAATAAAAACAAAATAAAAATAAAAAGGATGGAAATAGTTTGACGTTAGTCAGAAATCAGTGCAGATTTTATAAACTGTTCCAAAATATTTTGTAAAATTAAAGAGATTTTAAAGGCATCAAATGAAGAAGTGAGAAACAAAAATATCTTTTTAATTATCTGATTTTAATTTGTTAAAACATATTAACCCTTCTGTAAACAAACTATTCGTATAGTAACTGTGTTAATTTAGCAAATCATCATTTTTAGTTTGGATTCAGACATTAAAACACTGATGTTCGTTCATAAAGCTTTATAACAAAACACACTCAGCAGTTATTTACCGACAGTGAAAGACGAGGAGATTTACGGATGTGGAGCGAAACTGGAGAATCTGTTCAGGTTTGAGTAAATATTTCCTGCAGAGCAACAGATTCCAATAAATAATGCAGCTGGAATATCAAACATTTACAGTTAAAATGAAACCTCCCCGTTTGAGCAGCTTCGCTCACGTTGGTGTGATGGAGACACGTAAAACGGACTGCAGCGACTCCTGTGGCTGGAGAGCCACAGACACGCTCTTACTTTATATAGGCCGTTTCATTACTGAGCACAACAAACTGAATCTTCTGACAATTTTTCCTTTTCCTGTAAAGAAACTCGAGTTCTTTTATGATGAAATTGGAAAAACTTTTTGGTTTGGGGGCAGAAACGAGGGCTGGAACGATTAATGGATTATTTAAATAATCAATTGTTATTGAAATAATCAATTGTGATTAATCTATTATGAGACAATCAATTAATGATCATGAATGATCGAATTGACTAATCACAGTAAGTGATTGTTGGAATAATCAATTAATTGTGATTAAGCTACAATTTAAAACAATTAATTGTGATTAATCATGATCAATAATGATTTATAATGGTTAATTATGATTATTTAAGTGTTATAAAACACTTTAAAATTTCTGCCAAATGTGGCAGTTTTACTATCCGATTAATCGTCAGAACAATCGATTAATCGATAACTAAAATAATTGTTGCAGCCTTAGCAGAAGCCCCTCAAAATATGTTCACCATATTTTTGCATTTCAGCCAAAAACTACAAAGCATTTTATTGAGATTTTGTGTTTTAGATCGATACAAAGTAAGACATAATTGTGAAACTTTAAAATATTTTTCACAAATAAAAGCCTGAGAAGAGCATCATGTGGTGTTCAGGTTATCCTGACATCCATAAATAAACTCTAGGCTGATAAAAGGATGGATAACATCAACTTTGGACATTTTTAATTTGTTTATTTGTAAAAATGTAACATTTTCCTTCTACTTCACAACTATGGAGTATTTCCAGTGGATCCATCACAAAAATCCCAATAAACTGTAGTGAAGTTTGTGGTTGCAATGAGAGGAAATGTGTAAAATTTCCAGGTTTTCCTCCTAAAAACGACGTGAGAAACGAAGGAATGTCATTTTCTGACGGTTTCTTCCAAACACAGATGGATGAAAAGCAGTGCAGCGGTCGTCCATCTGCATCCAGGGAGCAGCTGTAGTGGTCATAACTCAGGCTGGGGGCCGGTGTGAGGGGCCGATTTGGGGGCGGAGCAGCGTTTCAGTTCATCATCATGATGTGTTAGCTAAGGGGCGCTAGCTGAGGAGGTCGGGCTGCAGGCCGACCCTCTGCAGGACGTCCTCCGGCATACACAGGACGGGGTTCACCGGCTTGATCGCCTCGTCGCCGAGGAGCGAGAGGCCCGCCACACCAAACAGAGTGTGGAACGGATCCACCTGCAGAGGAGGGGTCAAGAGGTCAAACCGCTGATGCACAAAGAAATCCTTCAATGTTGATTATCAGCAATGTCTTCCATTTTTGTCTCAGTTTTAAAAGTTTGAGCCGATTTTGATGGTTTGAAGAAACATAAAATGCAGTTTTTTGGAGAAAAAAAAAATCTACCCAAACCCAAAATGGCTGTAAAATCTATCGACTGGTGGTGATTAACGTCACCAGGAGGAGATTAGGGCCAGTTCTGATCACATAACCCGCAGATCAGCCCTAAACTGTACCGGACTTTTCTACAAATAATCAAACAAACACTGAATTAATGCTATGTTATTGCATTTTAGACAATAATATATGTATTTTCTTATTTTAAAATTATTTTTTTATGTATTTATAATATTGTATAAAAAGATTTAAGTAGTTAAATAAAAAAATCTCCAAAATATGTCGATGTCTTTATCCGATTAATCGATTATTCTGACGATTAATCAATAAATCGTCAGAATAACTGATAGAATAATCAATTATTAAAATAATCACTAGTTGCAGCCCTAGTATTTAGTAAAACTAACCTAATTTGGTGGCTGGTTGCAGTTTATTCATCATTTAATAGATAAATCTTGTTCTCACACAGGTGAAGTTAATTTTTCTTTTTTCAACTGAAAAACTGCATTTTGTGTTTATTTAGGTTATTTTATGTGACAACAAAGTAAAAGTAAAGAAGAAGCCTTTAAAGGGGCAATGCTTTCAAAAGGTGCTGTATAAAACAGGAACATAATTTGAGCGAGTGAAGCTTCAGTCTCGGCGTGTTTTGCTCACCATGTCTCCTGGTCGGTCGGCGAATCCTCCCGTCTCCTCGTCCTGGCAGGCCAGGATGAAGCGCTGCAGCTTGGCTTTGTCGATCCAGTGAATCCTGCCGATGATTTTCAGAGACGCCAGGACCCACCAGGAGTAGCAAACATCTGGAAGCTGAGAGAGACGGAGGTTTTGTCTGAACGTCCAGCTGTGATCGCAAACATCTGAACTGATGCTTCGTCACAGGAAATATCACTTTAGATCAACACTCCTCCAGACTGATGCAGAAAAAAGACGATAGAGAGAGATAAGGTTCTTCAGTGGCTCCGTTTTTAGTGTTGAAGAGGGAAAAATATTTAGAAATTTGTTCATTTTTAACATCTTTTTACTAAAGTGAACTGAGAATTTACTGTAAGAGATGTTGAGGTATGAATGTTGGTTTCTGAATCAGATTCATAAATCCAGATCTCAGCAGCTTGTTGGAGTGGATCTACTTGGTTGGATCTGATTTGTTCAGTTTCTAGATTTTGGTTAATTTTTGGGTTTGGATAAATTATTCTCAAGTTTTGGACGCCGTGCAGCTGGGAGGATTTCTGCTCTTACTTATTTACTATCAACCAGTTATAAAGTGTAACCATGGCAACAACATAGTATCCTTAAAACTGGAAGCAGCTGATTAGCATCTTAAATAATAAACTTTACTTACAAATAAACATATTTTGCCTAAGATTAGATGGAAAAAGGGAAGATATTAAACAAAACTGATAGTTTGACAGTTATATTAACTTTGTTTTTAATAAAAAATGGCTAATTTCTGCATTTTCTTTTAATTTGATTCAAGATATCTGATTAATCCTGGATGCAACTTCAACAACCTTAATAAATAAGAACAACAACAAACCTGCAATAATCCCCTCTTTTAAATGTGCTCAGGCACATTTAAATGCAGTTTTCTTGCCTTATGAGTCTAACGAGCAGAGAAAGTCCATCTGAAGCACACAAACCTTCTCGGGTCGCCCGTTGAGGCCTCCGGACGGCAGCTGCCTCTCGCAGAGCCACCAGCCCAGCAGGTCGGCGTTGAGCTGGTGCAGCTGACCCGTGAGCGACAGGAAGCCGGTGCAGCAGTAAATCTGGTGGACCAACACAGATAAATGGATTCATTCTGCTACAGCAGCCTCTCAGTTCTCACTCAGACGTCTACATTTTAATTTAAAGCATTTATTAGCAAAGACTTTGATTTGTTTTGGTGATAAAGGGTAAAGTTTTAAAAATGTCCAGGTGTGAACTCACCTGGCCAGCGTGGGACTCTGAGCCCGGCCTGCAGCCGAAACCTCCGTCGAAGTTCATGCAAGACAAGACGAACTCCACGGCTCTGTCAACGTTTATCGTGTCCATCTTTCCCTGAGCGAGGACAGAGACGGATCAGGACAAGCTAACGCTAACTAGCCTGTTCATGTTCAGCTGCCATATAAAACTACAAATTTATTAAGTTTCTGCTTCTGCTTTTATTTTCTGACCAAATTTAAATATCAAAGATACCTGAGTAAATACAGACTGTTAATAATAAATTATTTAGTTTAATAATTGATAAAAATATAAACCTGAGAATTAATTGGTCAGATTTTTAACTGGTGGAAGAATTTTGACCAAAACACATGGAAGGTTTCTAAGCATGAAAAGTCCGTTTAGGTTCATGTCATAGCATTTAAGTCTAGACTTTGACTAGGCCATTTCAAAACATTCAAATGTTTTTCTTTTTAAGGATCCAGAGGTGGATAAAACGTCACGGTTACATTGAAGCAGCTAAACAAGCCCAGAGCATCATACCGCCACCACCATGTTTGACAGAATCTATGCAGAATGTCGACTGAAGTGTGTAAATGATTATGATTTAATTAGAAACAATGTTTGGTGTGATTGGCTCATTTAATGCATGTTGGATGGATTCAATTTACAGATGTAAAGTAGCAAAAACTAAATCTGGCGTTAATCATTTCTTCCTTTAGTAAAGATTTATGTATTTACACAGATGGTGAAAACAAACAAGGTGGACAATTAATAAAATTAGATTTCAAGGTTGTTTTGCATAAATTGACAAAAGAAAAATTTTAAAATCTTTTTCAAAATGTATTCAGTTTTCCATTAATTATCAGAAAACATTTAAGTGTGAAACAAGAGAAACGAGACGCGATACTTTCACTGTACTTCATTTCTAGAAACATTTAACTGTTTAAGTGATAAAAAGTTAAATATATATATATATATATATATATATATATATATATATATATATTTTTTTTTTTTTTTTTTTTTTTTTTTTTTGTTTTTTTTTTTTTTTATAAAAAAAAAAAAAAAACTAAAAAAAA